GGCATAGCAGCCGAGCTGACATTAAGGCTTTCCTGGAAGGCTAAAATGCTGTTTGGCCCTTAAAACAGAAGCTTGTTTTTGCATTCTCCTGGTGTGCCTTTGGTTCCAGATATACCAGCCATTACGTTAGTCACGGAGGCTTCACCATCAGCCTCCTCAATTAGTAACGCCCAGTATCTGGTGCTGTCCCTGTTCTTCTCTGTAGTTCCATCCCCTCTTCTTCAGCTTCCCTTTTTTGTTGACCCGAGCTCAGGTAAGGTCCGTTCTTTACACACACGGAGCAGAACAGGCAAAGACTTGTCTCCATTTCTCTTTGCTGAGGTTCCAGACCCCTTTCAGACTGTCACTCTTTCTTTTTGAGGTTTGTCCTTGCCCTTTTTACTCTCTCTGATGGCTTTTGCTCAGCTTTCTACAGGGAACCTCAGGAGATTCAGTGATCAGCTTGGTAGAATTTCTTTTCATCCTTCCCTCTCCCGCAGCAGCAGTCTGGGGCGGGTATCAGTGAAGCTTTTTGATCAGAGAGTCTCTTAGCAAATTTGCCTCTCTTCACCTGGTGGTGAATGGTAAGGAGCCTAGTGAACAAGCTGCCATTTCTATTTGCAGGTATTCTGGGTTGTCTCTGGTGATGCTTCTCATCTAGAGGCTTTAAATTCATATTTTGCTTGTGGTTTACCTGGTATTGACAGCAAAGCTCACTGGTCTGCGAGCGCTAGAGGATTGCCTGGGCGCCTGCCACTGAATTCTTTGGTAGCTGATTTTAACATGTGTCCCTCTTAATGACTTCCCAATGTTGTTCAATTCTCTCATATTTTTGGCCAAACACTATTTTGTGTTGGTAATCTCTTGCTGTCTATCGGCAAAAAACACTCTCCTGGTGTCCTGTGCCCAATGCAGATATATATATATTTACTTTTTTTCTCTCTCTGCGTCTGTATGTTGCTGATTGCTCCGTGAGTTTCCTCTTTAGCAGATGATCTGTGTTTCATTTGCTTCTACCGTTCCTCCTCACGGGCTCTCTTTAAGCTGGATTTCCTCTGCCCCCTGCCGTTACTGTTTGACGGGTTTATGTAGGGAGAGCTCTCGGCCATGTAAATGTCTCACACAAACCTCAGTGGTAGGAGTGAAATTTGGGTGCTTTCTGTGTTTCCTCCATCTCTGTTCACGCTGCTCATTGTTGTCTAACTGCTCTGTTTGTTGATGGGGCAGGGACCCTTCTGAGCAATGTGTTTGTTGGTTTTAAGTTTGAAAAGTGCTTCTCACTGTTGCCTGCAACTATGTTTTTGTAGAAGTCAAAGAACCAGATCATTTTGGTCTACATATATTCCCAGGGTAAGGGATTCCCGATCTTGTGCTTTATCCAGGAAGCAGACTTGCATATTCACATTACAGTGTTTTAAAACAGACCCCTGTGATAAAGGGACACGCAGTTCATCACTGGAGGCTCGCAGGGCTCAGCCGGGCCGTGCTGGCGCCCATCTGATCTCGTTTTGGCTCGGGGCAGGCAGTTGGGCTGGAGCTGTTTGGAGCAGCCCTTCCAACCAGCGCTTCTGTGCTTGTGCTTTACCCGTTTCCTTTTCAGCAGACAGCGTGGGGGTGTTTTGCTCTTTGCAGCCCCAGCAGCTAAGCAGTTATTGATTGCTGCAGTGCTGCTGACTGCAAAGCAGGGGAGGAAATTGGTGCATGGGAAGCGCCGTTGGTAATTTCCCTGTCGGAGTGTTAGATGCCTTCCTTGTTCTTTTACCATTTTTTTTTTCCTGTGAGCACCAGTAGCTGAATAACACAGGCACTTACTGACGCTCGCTGTTCAGGCGAGGCTGTTCGTGCTCCTGTTGATGTGGGAGCACAGTGCAGGTATTCAGCACTCACCCTGACGTTTCCAGAGTCTTCCACGCTTAGATTAATGGGCCAGCTTGCAGTGAGCTTCAGGGTTTGTATTAGGCATCTCTCCTCCCAGCAATGCCTTCTTCCTGACAGACTGGATGTTGGTGACGTTCTTACTGTGTTTCTGGGAGGTGTTTCATCTTCTAGGCTGTTCTGCGTTTTTTTTTCCTCATCAGCCCAGCAGTTTAGCAAGATCTAAGCCAGTCTAACACGACTGGCTGTATAATGCTGCCTGGCAATTTGGCAATAGTATTTAGCTGACCCATTTTGGAAGGGCCTGTAAGCTGATTTAAGGGTGGAGTGGAAAACTTGTGTCTGGAAAATTTAACCTCTTGTGTTTATCTCCTGTAGGATGTGAAATATATTCAAACAGACGGGTATCGGGCTCCAGAGGCAGAACTGCAGAACTGCCTGGCACAGGCAGGGCTCCAGAGTGAAACGGAGTGCACCTCTGCTGTGGATCTGTGGAGTCTGGGAATCGTTTTACTGGAAATGTTCTCAGGAATGAAACTGAAACATACAGTCCAATCTCAGGAATGGAAGGTGAGTGAGAGCTGCTGCTGGTGTTTGTGCTTACACCAAACAGGTCCTTGTGCATCCTGTTGGTAACCTGAGTGTGTGATGTAGTGCCCAGGAAAAGGGGGTTACGCATTACTTTCTGACGTGGATGAGCAGGGCTCTAGTACCAGGACATGATGACAGGCTTTGCGCTAGTATTTTCCTTCCTCACTAAGCATTGCTGCTTTTTCTTTGCAGACAAACAGTTCTGCCATCATAGATCGCATTTTTGCCAGTGAAGGGGTGGTTAATTCAGCCATTCCAGCTTATCACCTCAGAGACCTTATCAAAAGGTACCTTCTAATATTTACTAAGTGTTTCTTAATGTTGTACTCTTATACTTGGAAAACCTTGTGCCTTGCTTTTGATGACTTGGAGCCCGCAGTTCACACTGGTTTCTAAATCCCCCCTGCTGTTGTGCTGATAAAAAATGGGAGCATTAGCAGGGATGCTTCAGCCCCTCTGGCACAGAGCGAATGTCACTCATCATGTTTTAGCAGCTAGAATCCCATTTGCAAAGAGGTGTGGGGCTCAGAGCGTCCTCGTGTCCGTGAGAGTCTGTGTGCACGTCTGAGACGGGGGTTGCATGTTCTGGAGGGGTGGAGCTGCAACTTGTGCATTTTGTAAGCTTGGGAGTGAGCAATATTCATATCTTGGGGCTGAAGGCTCTTCTCCTTGTATCATAAGCATCCCCAAAATGGGCAGTTCTTCTGTACTGGCTTCCAGCTTGCTGTGAGCTTGCAGGTGCCCGAGTGTCCCTTCTCTTGCAGCATGCTTCATTGTGACCAAGGACAGCGAGCCTCCGCCGAGACGGCGCTGTGCAGCCCCTTCTTCAGCATTCCCTTCGGTAAGGCCTGCGCGCAGGCAGTGCAGGGGTGCTCTTGGACTGGGGTGTGTTGGGTTCTGCCCCCTTGGCTGCTCTCGTGTGCCCTGTGGCACTCGCCAGCCCTGCTGCAGCACCAGGTGCTCTCAGTGTCTCTTGTGGTGGCATCTGAAGCTGCCATTGCTTCGGCAGGCTCAGCAATGCCAGGTTGTTATCATGGTGCTGGTGGCCGTTTTGGGCTCTGGCAAAGGGGGTGCTAGCCTAGTTTTGCAGGGACTTAGAGGTCAAGGCCTGCGACGTGGCAAGTCACAAACCCTTGCAGTCCCTCTGATGTCACTGAAGAAAGTGATAGTGTTTTGCCAAGGTTCCCCACACGAGTTGCACATTATCCCCAAAAGATGGACTGGGATGACCCTCCTTTGCCTTATGTCTCTCCTGGTTTTTTGTTTCAAAGACAACACAGTAACATGCTCCAGAGCTCGTGGGCTTTCAAGAACAGCCGTGAAGAGCTCTTCTGCTGCATAAATCAATGCTTAGGGCATCCAGCTCTGAGCTGTACTAGGGTTCTCTCTTGAATCTCAGCCGTGCTTTTCATTAGCTGCTTGACGCACCTTGCAGTGAGCGTTAGCTGTTCCCTCTTCTGAGGCTGCATCAAGATGCTGACATCCCTATTTATTAAGCAAAGATAACAAACTTGTCCCTGTTTCCTTCTGTAGGGACACTGCATCTGAGAAACTGGGGCTGTTGTAATCAAAGTCACCTTCCATGAACCCTGCAGCCAATACTGCTTTAGAGCACGGGGAGCAGTGGGCAGGCAGTGCTCCCTGGTCTGGTTTTAAACACACAGCCTCTGACTGTACCTGTTTGTACTAGAAGGTGCTTCTTGTACTAGAAGCTGCTTGGATGGACAGCTTTATACAACAACTGCAGGTTTGCTTAGGTACTGGTTCTATTCTGGTTCTCTTCTTTGCCAAACTTGGTGCCATCAGCTTGTCTGCACAAAGAAGCATTTGCTGTTTCTTTCCTAAGAAGTCAGAAAACGATCCCTGCCATCACTTTTCACTTGGGCACAGTTCACTTGGGCACAATGGAGACGGCTGAGGATGGTTTTCCCTGTCGTTTACAGCCAAATCGTGGCTTTCCAGATGTGGTCGATACCACTAGGAACTTTAGAGCAGAAGCAGAGACGTGGGGCAGAAGCACCTCCTAGGACAGAGGGGAATTGCAGGAAATGTGTTTCTCACTTGGTTGCAGGAAAAACAAATAGTTTTAAGTACTAAGGGTCTGTTTATCTCCCTTCCTTGAAAAAAGGACACGTGAAATGAAAGGCAGACTTAAATAGAAAGGGCCCATGATAAGACTGAGGCAACAGTTAGGTTGTTCTTTCAATCTCCTGTTCTTCTGGTGTTGTCTCTTACTTGCCGGCAGAACTGTGGAAGAATGGGTGAGAGTGTTTGCTTGCAGCTGGGACGTGCCTGCTTATCTGAATGTGACACCATTTCCAAAAGAGCAGGCCCTGAGCACTCTCTGCTGTAGGCCACACTGATAAGGCCCTTCACCCTCCAGGTTTTTCATAAGGAGTCTTCCAGCTTTACCAAAAAAAAAAAAAAAGTTATTTGGCCTTATGCACAGTATTTAGTTGCTCTATGGAGTTAAAATGTCTCCGTCGTGATTTTTACCTTCCTGCCTCGAGCTTTGTCCCTGAAGCTGGATTTGGGATTGTGGATTGCATGTGTTTGCCTTAAGGGAGCAATCCGTGAGCACGAAATGTCAAGCAGAACTTCAGATATGAGAGCCACAAGGTACTGGTATCATGTTCTGCTCTTGTAGCTTCCCGCTATGGTACTGGCTAACAAATAAAAACCACGACTGGTCTGCTGGTCCCTCTCCAGAATGTGAAATCAGGCTTTTATTCTTGGAGAAGTGACACCATCTACCTTGCTACTTTGGGTTTCTAGAAGCCTCGCATCTTCTCTCCAAATAAATTCTTGTAATTTGGAACTGATCTGCCCTCCTGGACTGTTCCTCAGTGCCTCAGTAGGATGTATGCAGCATTATTCCCAGTTGTGTGAGAGCAGGACCCATGGCCACAGACTTTATTTCTGCTCATGGAAAGTTGTTCACAGGCTCACTGCTTATCTGCCTCCCTCTTGTGGCCATGCCCTGTACTATAATGTGGCCTTAAGTTGTTAAATTGGTTTTCCTTTTCTCTCTGCCCGAATAACATGGTGATCTTCGAAACAGCAGGCTAAA